CATTTATAATCTAGACCTTGTCAGGATCCTCTATTATATATAGTCCTACCTTTTAGTTTCATTTCCCATTCACTTATCTGCTTCCCATATGGGCTCTAATATCAGTATAGTAAGACTCGATTGAGTTGCAAATAACAAATCAAGAAGGGTTAGTATAAGTCTTAAAGGAGGATATTAGATATTAGATCTTAAGTGTATCATGAAATTCAGGAGCTGTAATACTTGCCAACAGTGAACTGAGACCAGGAGCACTTTGGAAAATCCAGGTCATTTTCTCTCTCCATCTCTCATCTCTGCTTCTGTATCTTCATTCTGTACTACCCACCTCCCCTGCCCCAACATATACCACATATAACAGCTCATTACAAATCCCAGTTACCATCAGCTCCATGTTTTGTATAGATAGAGAAAAGCTGCCTTCTTTTTCTTCCCTTCCCTGGGGGAAGCGTTATTTGCCCAGCTAGGTCAGGTGCCCACCCCTAAACTGCTGGCAGAGATCTCAGCTACCATTGGAACAATATGGATGGAGTAGTGTCTGGAAGGGAAAGAAATTCCTAGAAGAAAAGGTAAATGTTCATAAGAGTTCCAAATCCTACCCATTCTTCAGTGCCTGCCCAGAGAATCAGGATTTTAGAACTGGAAATAGTCTAGCAGCTCACCTAATCTAGAACACTGACTTTATAGATGAAGAAGAGATGGGAATCCTCTTTTTTAATTACCCATGTCCTCAGTTATATTTTTAAGAAATGTTTTTAATTGTAGAAGGACACAATACCTTTGTTTTGTTTTTATTGGTGCTGAAGATAGGACCCAATGCCTCACAAGTCCTAGGCAAATGCTTTGCCACTGAGCTATAACCCCAGCCCCTCAGTCACATTAAAAAAAAAAAGTTTTTGTGTGTATAAAACTTGTCAATGGACCTTTGTTTTTTATTTATATGCAGAGCTGAGGATCAAACCCAGTGCCTCATACATGCTAGGCACATTCTCTATCACTGTGCTACAACCCTAGCCCTCAGTTACATTTTTGACCATCTTTCCTCAAAGTTTGTTACTCTAGCTCTCCAAATACCTGCCTTTAACTGGCTGAACGTAGCCACTGTTTGCTGATGCAAGAGTTTACTTCTTACCTCTATGACTGCCTTAGCAGGTCCTATGTTATGCTTCAGAACCTACCTATTGGCTTACCTGTTGCATCTGCTTGTTCATTCTCTATCTCAAAGGCACTTGTCCCTCTGCCAATCACCAATACACCCTCCTCCAGGGCCATGTTATTAAGCACTTTCTCATCTCTACACATTATTTAGTTTATCTCATTAATATTCTAAGACTTCTAACATCTGCATCTCTATCTTAGAAATCTCATCCTGAGTTCCAGAACAATGGATATTGCCACTTGGATATCCTATAGTCAACATGTTGAAAACTCAACTCAAAATTGTTTCAATAAAATCTGTATCCCTTAACCCAGAAGGGGTACTGCCATCAATCCAATTCTAAAATAGCTGAAACTTCTTCCTGTCATCCTTTCCCAATCAGTCACCAGGTACAGAGTATTCTGTTAGAATCTCCTCAGCCTCTCTTCTCTCCATTTCCATATCCAAAGTTTTTTTTTTAAATATAAGTAGTGGGAGGAATTTATTATAAATTTTCAAAAATGAAGAAAACAGTTTTCTAGATTTTTTTTTCTTAAAACACACATCAGTCTCATTTTATATCTACAAAATAGTTGCTTTGTCCTCCAAAGTATAGCATTATCTATTTAAAAAAGAGAGAGAGAGGTAACTAGGATAAATGTTAACCATGATCTGCAGACACAGAAATTTTCCATCTGATACATGTTGACTAGTGTATTCATGGTAGTTTTTGCCTCTTGATAATCATTTAGTAAAATGCCTATAAATACATAAAAATCCTTAAAGTAGACTGATCTTAGGTCAAAGTACAAGAACAGTGGCTCTCAGTAAAGTCATCCTATACACAGTGAAGAATCCCAGAGTCATATAATGCCATTCTCAGGAGTAAAAATGAAGTCGGTACTGGAACACTGAGGCACCAACGTAAGTACTTGAAATTGTCCTTTGACCTAAATCTTGAATACCCTCTCCCTCATTAAGCATAAAAATCCAACACAAAGGTTGATTTCCTAAGAGACTAGTCTTATGGCTCTTCAATCATAAAATTTGTCCTATCAACTGTCATTTATTCCATTTTTGCTTTTTGTGTTGAAATTTGATCAATAACAACCTCAACATAACAATGGCTATTGACATTATTATTATTTTATTTTTATATTTTTTATTGGTTGTTCAAAACATTACAAAGCTCATGATATATCATCTTTCATACATTTGACTCAATTGGATTATGAACTCCCATTTTTACCCCAAATACAAAGTGCAGAATCACATCGGTTACACACTCACATTTTTACCTAATGGCATATAGTTGTATTCTGCTACCTTTCCTATCCCCTACTATCCCCCCTCCCCTCCCCACCCATCATCCCTCTCTACCTCATCTGCTGTTGTTCAATTCTCTCCCTTGTTTCATATCCAAAGTTTTAATCAGGTTCTTAGCCCCTCCTAATGACATAAGTAGATTACCAACTAGTTTTTCCCATAACTAATCTGTACTCCTCTCTTTATTCTCTGCACTGCTTCTAGCATGATCATTCTAGAACACATATCAAACCACTTTATTCCTAAAAATCCCTCAATGGTTTGTCATAACTTAAAAATAAAGGTCAAATTTTAAACTATAGAACACTTGGTATACAGCACTGCCTATTTTTTCTGGGAGAAGCTTCCAAATTTCCACCCAACCAAACTTTGCTTGGCCATAAAGATCTTATGGTCCCCCAAATATTCTACACTATTTCATGGGTTTTAGTCTTCAACCCTGTAAGTTCCTCTTCTTTCTGCCCAGCTCCTTTGTTTAGTTATCTTCTGTTCGGCCTCCCATGTATCATCAGAGAATGGTATGTTATACGCTGCATAAAATTTGTGCCTTCCTGGATGAATTTATAAAATAAACCAAAAAGATAGACCTTATCTTATAGGATTTTAGAACAGAAAGTAAAATAAAAGATATAAATTTTATAAAATTACAGTTCAACATGAAGTAATGGCCAGTGCAGCAACACCACTTCAATTTGCTTTACATTGTTGCTTGTTTCACTCTCTTCTTTTCTGCTATGGGTTTGCACCTTCCAAGTTAAGAAAACAAAACAGTATTTCTTACCTCAGGCTCTTTTTTCTAGCATACTTTGGCTCAAGCAGGAAGGTAACCCCAGCTCAACTAATGGCCAATTTTCTGGACTTCTGTTTAAGTAATAGGGAAATGAACCCCACCTCCCCCAACACTCCTCACTGGACACAAATCTGAAAGGCTGTAGCCCTGGAAAACTAAGAGAGAAAGATAAACACTGTCTGGATATGGGACAATCAACCACAGTTAGAAATAGATCCAAGAGATGGAAAGAGGAAGCTCAATCCTGGACATAGTGCTTGATGACTAGATCAAGCCTCACCTGAAGTTAGTTTTGGAGATTTCTGCCTCCTCCCCAGTATAATATTCCCCTGTCACACATGAATCACTCTTTCCCCCCAATATTTCATGTTTGTTTTTCATTATCTTCTGCTTCATTCCACCAGTCACATTGTCCCCCAACACCATTTGAGGAATGGTCCATGTGTGAAGGGGTCCAGGTGGGGGTTTTCTGGCATTAGAAGTTACATCCTGGCTAAAGATGGTTATACTGGGGAGGAGGTAGAAACCTTAAACCTCAATTCATCAATGCCTTTGTTGTAGGGACAAATGAGGCAAGGCACCGAAGATAACAGGAAACAGTTTTATTGGGCTGCAGTCAGGTTCAGAGGGCACAGCTTTGCTGTAATAAATCAATCTCCTGAACCCCAAGTTCAGATAGTTTCAGAGTTTTATACCCAGCATGTAAGGGGAGGGGCTCAGAAGTTCACAGTCTGCAGAAGTTCACATAAAAGCAGCTTCTCCTTTCACTGTTTTGGGAAAGTTAACCCTTCAAGGACAACACTTGAGAAGGGGAAAGCTTCTTCTCCCCTTTCTGTCCTCCCCCTGCCAGCTGTTACCATGGAGCCCAATTGGTATACAAACTACTATACTGGATATGTTTGCGAAAAACTAGTAAGGGTTGTCCAGCACCTGGAGTGCTGATTTCTTCCCGGCCAGTGGCCAAGTAAGATAGGACAACATGAAAATAGGAAGTTTATCTACATTGAACTCTTCTGCAGACAGTCCTAAAATCAGACATGGTGAATATTTCTGGAGAAGCCCAGTTAAGACTTTTCTGTGGAGAAAGGGAGTGCCACTTAAAAATAGACAGTCCTAAAATCAGACATGGTGAATATTTCTGGAGAAGCCCAGTTAAGACTTTTCTGTGGAGAAAGGGAGTGCCACTTAACCTTCTTATATCTCACTTGATTAAAATGCTTTTGTTCAACTTCCATGTTCCTGTGAAAAAGGACGTTTTCCTACATAACCACAACAACATTACTGCACTCAGGATATTTACAATTGATTGATAATATCTGATACAAATCACTTTAAATTTTTCCCAACTGACAGAAAATGTACTTTGTAGTTTTTAGCACCTATATTAGTTTAAAAGCCTTACTGTTTAGCATTTCATATTTAATCTTCAATCCACCTGAAATTGACTTTTGTGATCATGTGAGAAGTTCCCATTTTATACTGCTTTCCGTAAGAATAACTATATTGTCACAGAACCTTCACTAAATAGACCATCTTTTTTCCATAGCTGTGCGATGCCACCTTTGTCATAAATCAAGTTTGCTGTAAAGAAAAGGAAAGGAGCAGTCATAGAAAGGTAGTGTCTTTGGGAAGGGTCTGGTTTTCTATTTTTGTACGAATGGTGAAAAGTGCGTTAAAAAAATTACTGACTTATATTTCAGAATGTGATTGTATGTTTCCCAATAAAGGGGTGGGGAACACTACCCCGAGGAGGGGAGCACCGGAATCTTAGAAGTGAGCTGGTGCGAGGCTCTAAGATGCAGATGCAGAGCCAAAGGTTGTCAAGGAGCAGACACAGCGCCTACACTCAGGGGAGAGTTCGGTCTAGAACTAAACGACCAGCACACACGGAGCCCCAAGCTCCCAGAGTTTCCCTAAGCCCAAGCCAGCGATAGCAGAAGCCTCCTTGGCCCGCTGGGAGCGGGATTCACGTCGGAGCTACATCCTCGCGAGGACTGGGCAGCGCCGCGAAGCACTCTGGGAAGAGGTGGTATTCGGGCTGCCCAAGGCATTCTGGGGCGGGGCTCCAGGCTTGAGGTAGTCTTCTTTCTCTACGCTCGCTCTGCGGGTTATTGGTGCTTTTAAGGAAGAGTCCTGAAGCAGTTCCGAGGCTACGTTGAAACCAAGTGGAGTCCGGGGGGCGAACGAGCTGGGGGACTGTACAGACTGCTTTTCGGAGTCCAAGGGCCTGAGCTCCCGGATCGCTGTGTTCTCCTCCCTCCTTCCCCGCCCCGGAGTGGGAATCGCCCGCGGCCACCGTCTCCGCTCCTCTCCCGTCGCAGCCAGATTCTCGTGAGTTCTGAACCTTCTCGTTCCGAAGAATGTGCGTTCGGCTGAGAGTTTCTCAGGGCCGGCGGCCGCTTACTCTCATGACCCGCTCTTCCAGGACGTGTAGGAAGTGTTTAGAATACTTTTCGGCATAGATGACACTCCCGGAGAGACAGTGGTTTGGGATCCGAGGAAAGCGAAAGCCCGGTGACATGCAGGCAGCAGGAACTCTCAGAGAAGCAAAACCTCTGACGGGAAATCTCTTACCAGAGCTCCTGGACTAAGACTGGAGCTAGAAGAGATACCGACCTCAGAGCTCTTGGGGACATTGGTTATTTTTAACCCTTTACTTTCTGGGAGCAGAGACTTGGTCAAGTAACTGCATCCAGGGCATGGAGAAAATGAAGAAGTCAGCCCCAATAGAGAGGCCAGTGTTATCTAGGATCTGGGGTCCTGGGCAACAGTCTATGAAGTGTGAACTGGGAAGGAGGAAACAGAGTAATGTGAGGGAGTGGTTCAGTGACAAAGGACCAAAAGATTCCATTTAAGCATAGCAGAGGCCCAAGTGGCTAATCTGGTTTTTTTCTTGCACGTGTGGTCTTCAGAACTTTTCTCCTCCCTTTATCTTTGTAGTATTCTGCCCTTCCCTGTGAGGAGGAAGACCAGCTGAGTTTCAGGTGAGTTGGCTGACATTTCCTCTTCAGTCTCATTTGTCAGAAAGAATAGATACATTGTCTCATCGCTTCCTTGGTAAGGGAAAGGAGAGCCATATTTTTTTGAGTACTAATATGGGTACTGTGTTTTATCACTCCATGATTGGGTAGCTGAATAGGGTTAGATGAGTGCCCTACTCACCCTGGGACATTTTAAAGATGTGTCAGCTAAAAACTTGTCCAAGATTACTCAAAAAGTCGGTAGCATATGTCTAAACTCTGCTGAACTACTCAAGATCAGTTCAGAATCCAAATCTGTAGGATCCCTAGATTCTTGACACTGTGCTGGTGTTTACAAGCATCTACTATCTAAGTGACACTATCTGTATTATTCATCTCATGTGTCAGTGGTGTACTGCATTGTGCTCTCCAGTTTTTTGTGTGTGTGAGGTTTTTTTTTTTTTAAGCATAGGAAAGTTCAGGCCACACACCTGAGTCCAAATGGTCCATCTCTACTGTATTGTTTTCTTCTTTTAGACAAATAATGCCACAGAGAATGCTCCTGTTCTTTGTTTTCTCCATAAGACATTAATTCACTTAGCTGTTTAGGACTACCCTGCGCTCAATGTTGTATATAAAACAAGTGGGGAGTCTGTATCTTTCAGGAGCTTACTCTCTTTAGAAGTTAATGCATACTAATGAAATATATATGTCAGTGCTTTCGAATTTGATTTTCTGTGATGAGGGAAATGTACTATTTTTGTGACTTTTACAGTATCTACTAGCAGCATATAGTTCCTGACCACTGAAATGTGGCTAGTGCAACTGAGAAAATTAATTTAAAATTTTATTTTGTTAATTTAAATTAAGTAGCCACTTATGGCTGGAGGTTACCATATCGGGAAGCCAGGTCTAGATATTTGAAACAGTATTTCAAAGTTAATTGATTTGGATTTAGTGCTCCTTAGACTCCTCAAAAACAATGCAAAACTCAGAGTGTACATGTTAATTGCTATTTGACTTTAGTTTGCTGGAGTGTAAAAATCATTGCCAAATTTCAGGAACTTCGTAGTCCAAATAAAATTATTCATTTTGAAACTATCATCATTTAAAATACATTTAAAGTTTTAAGTTATTTATGCAAATGTGTTTCAGTATTTTATTACTATTGAAGTATCCTATAAAGCAATAACTTTACAGAATGTAAGCAAAAGTCTTATCATTGCATTACTTTTGCTCATTGCAAATAACCTTTCTTATGGCTTTTTATGTTTTCTTTGACTAATGACATATAGGCTATTTAAAAATTAGTTAAGAACAGCCATAATTAATAATGATGACACTCTCAGAGTGTTAGATCTTAAGCTTTGACATAAGAGTTGGTGCATTCACCATGTTCATTGCTTATTAGAATAGCAAAGGGTTTGTTTCATAGTTACCCTAGCAGCTTAAATTTCTTGTCTGACACTAGTGTACTGGTCATACCCTATTGTGGTATTCTTCTCTATGCAAAGTTAGATAAATGAGGTTAGGAGTCTGGGTTAAAAAATATCTTCAAAAAAGGGCTGGGATTGTGGCTCAGTGGTAGAGTGCTTGCCTCAAATGTGTGAGGCACTGGGTTCAGTTCTCAGCATTGCATATAAATAAATGAATAAAATAAAGGTCCTTCAAAAACTAAAAAAAAAAATAAATAAATCTTCACAAAATAATTTGCCTAGTTTCTTAAAAATACTTCAGAGACAAAACGATCAAACACAATATGTGGTTGTTGTTTCCTGATATAAAGAAAAATTATGTAGAACATTTTTAAGACAGTTGGGGAAAATTTGAACCTGATCTGGAGTGTATTATTAATTTTGTTGGATGTAATAACAATATTGTAGGAGAATGCTGTTTAGAAATGTAGGCTAAAGAATTTACATCTGAGCTGGGAATGGTGGTGGTACATCCAGTCATCCCAGTGACTTGGGAGGCTAAGACAGGAGGATTGCAAGTTTGAAGCCAGCCTGGGCAACAGTGAGACCCTGTCTCAAAATATAAAATATAAAGGGCTGGGGGTGTAGCTCATTGGTGGAACACCCCTGGGTCCAATCCTTAGTACTGCAAAAAAAAAAAAAGTTTCCAAAGTTTCAAGTCATTATTAAATTTGAAGCACAAAAGGCAAACCTCAAATCTCCTTTTAAATCTGAAGAAACTGGCCAAGAAAAATGATTTGCTTAAAGCCATACATAGTATATGAGTTACAGATCCAAGAATAAAACTATTTTTCCACTTAAACTTTTCTGCCAAAGTGAGGATGTAGCTTAGTGGTAGGGTGCTTACCCACCATGAATGAGGCCCTGGGTTCGATTCCAAGCAGCTCAAAAGAAAAAACAAATCTGCCAAACAGACATATATAAATGATACAAGGAGTGATTTTTTTTTTTTTTTAAAGTGTACCTGTACGCAACTGTTTGGCATCACTACTTGGTCATTAAGAAATTTTTCTAAAATGTCAATGAATACTTTGTCATGAGTCTTTTTTATCTCATAGGATTTTGAAAGTGATTTTGAGAAGTTTTTTATTTTGATAATGCATGTCTTTTAACATGTTATGCAGGGACCTCTTTGCTCAGTCCAGAGCTGTGCCATGGCAGAGACTGGGGAGGAGGAGACCGCATCTCCAGAAGCTTCAGGGTTCTCAGACTTGAGCGATTCAGAGTTCCTAGAGTTTCTGGATCTGGATGATGAGTCAAGTGCTTCAGTTAGCAAGCCTGGTCCTTCTGAACTCCCTGAAAAGGATGGCAAGTCTGTAAGCTTACAAAACTGGAAACGAGGATTGGATGTCTCTTCACCCATGGAAAGATTCCACTTAAAATATCTATATGTCACGGACCTATCTACTCAGAACTGGTGTGAATTACAAATGGCATTTGAAAAGGAGCTTCCTGATTTTTTGACACCTGAGAAAGCAGCTGTTTTGGACACTGGTGCCAGCATCCACCTAGCTAGAGAATTAGAACTTCATGATCTTGTGACTGTTCCCATCACCACTAAAGAAGATAATTGGGCAGTTAAGTTTCTGAATATACTATCAATGATTCCTACCCTGCAATCAGAAGGGTGCATCAGAGAGTTTCCAGTGTTTGGGGAGGTGGAGGGTGTGTTTCTTGTTGGAGTGATTGATGAGTTGCACTATACAGCCAAAGGGGAACTGGAACTGGCTGAACTCAAGACACGTAGGCGCCCCATGCTCCCTCTGGAAGCTCAGAAAAAGAAAGACTGTTTTCAAGTTAGGCTATACAAATTTATCTTTGATGCCATGGTGCAAGGGAAAGTAACCCCTGAGATCCTAATCCACCACACAAAATTGTGTCCAGACAAGCCACTGGGGCCTTCAGTGCTGCGGCATGCCCGGCAGGGAGGTTTTTCTGTGAAGTCTTTGGGTGACCTCATGGAACTAGTCTTCTTGTCTCTCACGCTATCTGACCTCCCAGTTATTGATATTCTAAAGATTGAATATATCCATCAAGAGACTGCCACTGCATTAGGTACAGAGATTGTAGCCTTTGAAGAGAAGGAGATGAGAGACAAGGTACAGCATTATATGGCTTATTGGATGGGCCACCGAGAGCCTCAAGGGGTTGATGTGGAAGAGGCTTGGAAGTGCCGTACATGCAACTATGCAGACATTTGTGAGTGGAGGAAGGGCAGTGGAGTGCTCAGCTCCACAATGGAACCTCAAACCAAAAAAGCCAAATGAATAGAAGAAATGTTGGTCTTTCCTGCTCCTAATGTACCTGAAGAAAAGAGTACTCACTTCTGAGCATGGATTTCATGGATATTGTTCTTATTTTTTAATATTTCTACAACCTCTAATCACATTCAGTCCAGGACCAAGGTTCACAGCTGAGTAGGAGAGATCTGGAGTTACATTGTCTCTGAGCTTTGACATGGATTGCCAAGAGTAAAGATGCTCATCATGGCTGGAGCAAAGGCAATACCTTCAGCAAGCATTGTTTTCCTAAGAAAACTCTTTAGGTTCTAGTAAATCTTATTTTTTCTCAAAGTTTCTATATTTTACATTATAAAATAAATGAAATGTTGTCCAGTTGGACTGGTTTTTTTTATATGTGGGGGTATCAATCTCGGTTCTTCAGAAATGACCAATGTACATAGTTGTGTATATGTTATAATAAGCCTGTAAATTTACATATAAATATTTTGGAAGCAGAATTAGAGTAGATCAAGAATTTAAAACAATTATAATAAATATTCTCAAATAGATAAGGGAAATTGAAAAAGTGAAAATACTAGATATGAGAAATACATATGAAGTATATGTAACATTCACACACACACCTGGGTATATGCTATAATTTATATGAGTACAATAATAAGTATGAGAGGGCTGAGGATATGGCTCAGTGGTAGAGCACTTGTCTAACATGCACAAGGCCAGGGATTCAATCCCCAGCACTACAGGACAAAGAAAGAAACAAACCAAAACACCCACATAAATATGTACAAGAATGTACTTTGTAGTACTTCCACAATAAGCCTAGAACCTACCCAGATACCAACCAACAGAAGAGTGAATGATATTGTATAGCAGTCAAAACAAATGAACCACAATGACATATAACAATTCATATGAATCTTTTTTTTTAGTTGTAGATGGACACAATACCTTTGTTTTGTTTATTTTTTTGTGTGGTGCTGAGGATGGAACCCAGCGCTCACACGTTAGGCAAGTGCTCTACCACTGAGCTACAACTCCAGCCCTGATATGTATGAATCTTAGCAACCTATTAGGTTAAAAAAGTAGGTTCCAGAAAATTACATACAGCATACCCTTTTTATAAAGTGAAAAATAACAGCAGAAACTTTAAAAAATTTTTTAAAATCATTGACATTTATTTATTTATATGTGGTGTTGAGAATTGAACCCAGTGCTTCACATAAGCCAGGCAAGTATGCTACTGCTGAGCCACAGCCCTGACCCCTTAAAAAAACATTTTAAGGAAAATGTATAGGTAGTGGAGAGAAATTTCAATGCACCTTAGAAGGCAATGGAGTCCTAGCTACAAACATCACCAAAGAGATCAGAGGAAGGAATGATATAGATATCATTTGAAGTGTAAGAACTTGTTCATGAAGATACTACTGGAGAATTTGCAGGAATAGTTGGATTGGGGGAGGGCAGTTGGTATGGGTGGAGTTTCTGTACTAATGGATGGTGAAGAGTTAGCAGAACATGGTGAGTAATCTTATTGTGACTTCATGTTATAAATGAGCTGTTAACATCTGGGCATCTATAGAAGATTCGATGGGTAACCTTTTATGAGCTACACATACTCTTATGATATTTCTTTTCATTGACTGAGTGACAAGTTGTGTGCCAGGCATTGTGCTAAGTATTTTATATGATGAAATCTGTGTATCAGTTATCCCCAGTGAGGGGACTGAGGCTTAAAAAATGTTAAAAATTACTCTCCCAACCTCCCATTGTATGGAAGTGGTAAATTCCAATTGAGATAGGTCTGATTGCAGTTCTTATGCTCTTAATCATTAATTTGTAAAGTTTTTCTTGCTGTTATTAGGTCTCCTGGACTATGAGCATTCCTTTTCTGAACTGCTGAGATCACAGTGTTTTAGATTTCTGATTTTCCCCCCAGATTTTGGAATATTTGCACATACACAATGAAATATTTTGGGAGTGGGGCCAATGTCTAAGCAAGGTCTTCACTTACGTTTTATATATACTTTATACACATAGACTGAAGGTAATTTTATACAAAATTGCTTATACACCTGCATTTTTACTCATCATAATGAGTTTGGAGTGGAATTTTCTGCTTGTATCATGTTGGCATTCAAAGTCTCAGATTTTGGAACATTTCAAAATTTGGGTTAGAAATGTGAAATGTTGTATTATTATGGGACTTGTATTATTCTGGGACTTAGTAAATTTAGAATTAAACCATGGATGTAGTAAACTGGACTTTCTAAAGTAAACAGTATTAAGCTAATTGTCTCCAAGAAAAAAACTTGCTCAGGGTTCTACAGCATCATCTTAAGTTATACAAGAAATTTCAAGAACAGAAGAAAAAACCAAAAACGGTTTCAGATAGTGACACTCAGAATCCAGTAATTTTCTGAGATCCCTAATCTTTATTTTAGATTAACATTCTAGTTATCTTTTTGTATTATAAGAATAAGTTGAGGCATCTGTAGTTGGGACTACCCCAGGATCAGTACTATGGTGTGCATGCTTATGCCGTCCCAAAATTAATATGTTGAACTTCAAACCTCCCAAGGTGGCGGTAGGAGGTGGACCTTTGAGAAGTTATTAGGCAGTGCAAAAGAGCCCTCTTAAATGGAATTGGTGCTCTCATAAAAGAGGACCAAGGGAATACTTTTGCCTTTACGACTATATGAGGACATAGCAAGACACAACCTGTGAAACAGAACAGACTCTCACAAGACCATGATTCTTCCAGAACCTTGATCTTGGACTTCTCAGCCTCCAGAACTGTCAGAAATAATTTTCTTTATAAGTCCCCCACCTTGTGATATTTTGTTATAGTATCCTTGATAGCTAAGACAATCACTGATGCTGTTCTCTACACACAGTATGTAAGTGTTGTAGTCTTTATATAATCTAATAATTTGTTTTTGGTGAATTCTGCCTAAGGTTTCTAGACTCCAAATTGTGTCCCTCTTTGATGTTTGTTCAGTAAGTGGATAAATGAAAAAAGATATTACAACAAGCCTATCAATGTTTTTTAAAAATGTGCTCTTTGCACTAGAAAGTTAGTTATACCCCTTAATTTGGGCTAGATGTAACTGTTTATAATATGATAGAAATCACCAGAACAATAGTGGCTAAACAAGACAGAAATTTATTTTTCTCTCGTTCAAAAGAATACTAAATATAGTTATTCCATGTCTGGTGTGCACCCATGGTATCAGGAACCCAGTTTTCTTCTCTTGTTTCTCTTGCATCAACATGAGTCTTCAGTCTAAAATGACTGCTCAAATTCCATACACCCATTATACATTCAGCATGAAGTTGGAATAGGAGAAGAGCATCTCTATAAAAACACACTTTAAATTTGTACCCCTTCTTACACTTACATCCCACTGGCCAAAATTTGGTCACTTGGTCTTAGTTGCAAAGACGGCTGGGATATAGAGTATTGATTATGGGTAAGCATATACCCAGCAAAAACCTAGAGATTCTATGATTGCAAAAAATAGGGAGAACAGAGAGAGGATTCCGGGAATATAGTGGAGTCCAAAGCACCAGAAGGAAATCTTTCTCTTCACCTAGAAAGCAATTGCATTGGCAGAATATGTCTGATGAAACTATTTTGGAACTCAAGTCCATTGAAGGCTTGCAACTTCCAGGGGAAGACTTAGATGCTAAATTGTGGTTAAATTTGGTCAATTTCAACTTTTAGTTCAGTAGAGTTAACATGCTCCACATCTCATTCTTGAGGCAGGCTGCTATGTATGTATACACAGAGCAGTTTGCACACAACTCAGGGGGCCAGAGTGGGGAAAAAGAACCTGTCGTTCAAATAGAATCTATCCTCTGATTGATGCTTCCTATCACAGCATTGCAGAGAAAGAGGAAGTGGCCACAGTTGCTGCCCCTCCTCTCTTTGTTGCAGCTTCTCCCCCTCAGGTTGAAGTAACTTACAGAGAATTTAAAGAACTGGCTTCATATTCCCTCTTTTGGAAGCCAGACATTGAAGACTATGGGCATTCAACAATAACTGAGTATATTAGGAAAACTAGAAATCACAAAAGGCCTGAAAAGTTAAGTTTGCAACATAGGTTGACTATTGGCACAGACATAACCTAAAGCAATCTAAGTACAAAAACAACAAACTCTGAGAAATTGGGAGAATCTAATTTGCAGACTTAACACATTGTTAGATTCAGATATGCAGTTTTCAATAAAAACCACAGGCACACAAAGAAACAGGAAAGTTTTGCCTATTCAAATGGAAAAAATAAGCCAACAGAAACTGTCTCTGTAAAAAGGCCTGATAGTACTATTAGACAAAGACTTTAAAACAATTGTCTTTAAAATGCTCAAAGAACTGGGCTGGGGATGTGGCTCAGCGGTAGTGTGCTCACCCAGCATGAGCAAGGCCCTGGGTTCGATCCTCAGCACCACAGAAGAAAAATAAATAAAGTAAAGGTATAAAAAATGCTCAAAGAACTAAAGAAAGACAGGAAGAAAGTCCAAATAAAATGATCATCACATAAAAGGGATCCTTTGTTGCCAACTAGCCAGGCTCACAACCTGAGTTGGGTTCACAAAATCTGGCTACCTCAATAACTAAGAAAATGGCGAAAAAAAAACATGCAACACACAGAAATACCTTTTGCTTGCAGGAATCAGTGATGGCTCTCAACCTTAAGGGTCTGTTGGAAATTCAGAGCTTGTACCTGGATTCTTTATTTTTATAGGGGGGCACACAAAGCTAGGTTCAATGGAATGTTCTTTTCAAATAAGGCCAGGGGTCAGGTTTCAGGGGGCTCTTGAGTCTAACTTCATGATGTCTTGTGGTTATCAGATTGACTGACATCTTGGAAGGCCACACTCATCTCAGGTGCTGTGTGGGATCAAAGGCAGAGCAAGTGAAAAGGACATATACATTGAACAGCCCAGTCAGAGAAGTAATGTCAGTCCAGTCCCCTCAAGTGCTCAAATGCTCACAGCTGGCTCACACAGCCCAAGGCTGGCTCATGACAAATCCTCAATAAGATTATTAGCAGATTAGTCATCAGAAAATGGAGGCCAGAAAGAAGTGGACCAATATTGAAGGTACTAAAAGAAGAAGGAAAAAAGACCCCTGTCAATGAATGATTTTATTAATCCTATATCCAGCAAAACTTTAAAACTGAGGGAGAATTAAGACATTCTAAGAATTAAAAAAAAAAAAACTTACAAGAGCTGAGCAGAGGAACCCTGACTGCTGGATAAGTTTCACCACTTCCTGCAGAGCATCATTGAGGAGAGGGACGCTGGTGTCTTTTAAACCCTCTGCTTATAAGTCATCACTCATTAACCCCATCCAGGACCCCACACAATCCTCTTGGGGTTACAGTTTCTCTGACTTTCTTTGTTCTGATGTCCTTAACAATGTTGAGGAGGACCTGTCAGAATGTCATATAAAGTGGACCATACAGCATGTAGCCTTCTCAGACTGGCTTTTTCCCCTAGCAGCATCCCAGGAACCATTGACATTCAGGGATATGGCCATTGATTTCTCTGAAGAGGAATGGAAATGCCTGGACCCTGCTCAGCAGACTTTATATGGAGATGTGATGTTAGAGATCTATTGAAACCTAGTCTTTGTAGGTATTTCTTCTCATTAAAACCCAGAATTTTCAGGAGAGCTGGAAATAAAATATTTTTTGCAAAACTTGAAAAAAAAAACTTAAGAGTTTATTGTTAGTGATATACCTGCCCTGCAAGATAATGTTTCAAGAAGTCTTAAGGTGAAAAGCAAAATACAAAAGCCAATGAAAAAGTAAATATCCCAATAAGGCAAACACACAAGCAATCACAAAAGCTAGCACTGTTATAACAATGGTTTTAACTACATTTTTATTTCCTCTGAGATTTAAGAGACTAATATTTTTTTAAAAAATAGTCATAGTCTAGGGGCTGGGGATGTGGCTCAAGCAGTAGCGCACTCGCCTGGCATGTGTGTAGCCTGGGTTCAATCCTCAGCACCACATACAAAAAAAGATGCTGTGTCCGCTGAAAACTAAAAAATAAATATTAAAATTCTCTCTCTGTCTCTCCCCCTCTCTCTCTCCCTCTCTCTATCTTTAAAAAAATAGTCATAGTCTAAAAGCTAGTAATTTTGATTTAGAACT